TTTGAACCCAACATGTTACTGATTCAACTTTTAGCTTCCATTTGGCTTCCGTTTCTCATTCTCCTTTGGGGGATTATTTTGTGACTTGGAAATTGAATTAGTACTGGTGAATACAAACTAATGCCTGATTATATGCATGTTCCCTCAATAAAGGCCAGGATGTGCTGCCTATTGACCATATTTTTTTTCTATCACTAATTGACAAAGACAGATCTTGTACTAAGGCACACTATTTTAGGGATTTGACAGAAATTAGTGGATTCTTTAAATGTGGCCTAGTAAAATATATCACTTATAGCTAACAACAACAAAAAAAGCACTGAAAAGTGCTAGATTGGTGTATGCATGCATGGCTGCCATTCTCTTTTTACAGTATTGTCTGCTATTCAGCAACAGAGATAATCCATTTCCAGTTCTTTATTATCTGGTTAGTGGTGAATTAGTGTTAATTCAGTTAGGAGCATTTGAGATAAATTGCCAGCTTCTTCTAAGACCATTTGTGAAGTGTTCTCAGGTGGCCAAATTTACTAGTGCGTAATTTAGTTTTAGTTTATACATTTGTACAGGGTTGAACCATTTTCTTCCTGTTAGACCGAGTTTATTTATCAAAGGTGGGACTGGAAATTTAGAAGAGAGAAGCTATTTCACTTCCTTGGTGCTTGAATAGTGCTTTAGCTGTGAGTTGACCAAAGGAGTTGTTGGAAGAAAAATCTGGTCTGATTCCAAGTTGGGAGAAAGACACTGAAAATAAAATGGAGGCAGGCTGCATCTTGGAAAGGAGGTCTCTGTTTATTTGGTAGCCAGAAACTTTAGTGACAGCAGTATGTTTCTGGGGTGGCTGACAAAATAAGGTTGAGGAAGGTGGGCTTTTATGCATTCTTTGGGGTTTTGTGATTGAAATGCTTGTTTGTTGTGAAATGTTTGATGGGTGCCTGTGTGTGCTCTTTTAGTATTCTAGTTATTGTTGCATGACTCTCATTGTGGCTGGGAGGTCTTGGACTGCTTTCTGCCTTTAAAAACATGGTTCTTCTCTTCTCCTTGAGGGGAAATATAATATTCTGCCTCTTTTAATATTCCTCAAAATATTTCATTCTCGTGTGTGTGTGTGTGTGTGTGTGTGTGTGTGTGGCTTCCCACAGAGTATTGAGTGGAAAAACCCTACCAGTTAAGATCAGGGTCATCTCATGTTGGACAATTTTCTACAAAATGAGGAAATTAAGCTTGCTAACTTTACAATTGTATCTCATGGCTGGTTATGATATGTTGGGACATCCCAAGTGTTTTGCTTACTCTTTACAAATCTTCCTTTGTCTATCAGACCACACAGAGATGGAAAAAATAAAGTGCTTGGAGTCCCAACCTGGTTCCAAATTGTATTAGCAAACATATGGCTCTCTACTGAAAACAATTTTGTTTCCTTCTCTTTCTCCCTGATTCAAGAAGGTCCTCCATTTTAGAAGATATTCAGCAAGAATTTCTTGATAGGTAATACATTAAAGAGATAAAAGTGTTTTTATATCTTTATATGTTTTATTTTCTGGATAATTTGGGACAAATTTTATAAATTTTAATAAAACAAATATATTGTGAGTTTTATCAAAAGTATATGGAGTATTTTCTGATATCAAAATAATTAGATACAGTCTATTGGACTGATATTATAAAGAAAAAACACACACACAAATTTGGATTTGGATTCAGAAATTCTCTTTATTCTAAGTCTTCTTATATTTTGGAGTTTTCTTGAGGGCAACCAAGATATTAAAAATATTCTTCCCTATTATTTTGATTCTGAATATTGTCCAGCAAGCTGTGCATTCTTCCCTATTATTCAACTTTGTTTTGCTCTTTCTTATCAGTTTTCTTTTTATTTCCAGTACATATTTTGTTATGATAAAACACATGAAAAATATAACAGCAATCCTAATGTTATGGTACATCTGCTTCAGTAAAGACTATGTAGCACATCAGTAAAGCTGTGTACAAAAACATGGCATAGAAGTGATGATGTATGAAGGGAGAAAAATCAACTCTATTAAGGAAAAGAAGTGAAATTCTCATTTCTCTCGGTATCTATCCTGGTGGAATAAACAGAAGAAACAACAAAGAATACAATGAGGAAATACTATCATGTCCAATGTTGTTAGTTTTAATATACCACCCATACCTAGCAGAACACAACACAATGTTATTTTCAGCACCCAACACAGTCACACGGGAGTTTGGCACCTACAGGTAGCAAATGGCTAAGGTTGAGGCAAACAGCAAAAGAGAAATATTATTTAGGGTGGCTTCAACAACTTGCTAAAGTTTCTGGAGTATGCTCTGAAACCAGCAATTTCTCCACAAAACTCAGTGCCCAGAAAAAGTAGGAAGGTATTACTGGCAGCTAAGATGCCAGACTCGTGGAGGGGAGCATTGATTTCGCTGATCCCGAAGGAGGAAGCTGACCACAGATATATTAACAACTACAGACCAATTTCACTTCTAAACACTGATTATAAAATATTCTCCTCCATTATAGCCAATAGACTAAAACAAGTTTTAAATCTATACATACATGAATCCAAAACGGATTCCTCCCGACTAGACAGATAAAGAATAATTTAAGAACAGTAATAGATGTCTTAGAATTTTATGAAGCCCACCCTGAGAAACAATCCGCACTTATGTTTTTAGACGCAGAAAAGGCATTTGACAATTTAAATTGGCATTTCTTAATTCAAAAAATTTATAATATGAATCTAGGCACCAAATTCGAAAATATCATAACAACAATTTACGATACACAGCAGGCTAATATCTTAATAAATGGGAAACACACAGGTCCAATAAAAATAGAAAAAGGAGTTAGACAGGGCTGCCCTCTTTCACCTCTTCTCTTTATATTCGCTCTAGAAACACTCTTAACTCGTATTAGGCAAAATCCTGAAATTAAAGGATTGAAGATTAAAACAGAAGAATACAAATTGCAAGCATTTGCCGATGATATGGTTTTCTTTTTGGAGGAACCAATAGAAAAAGGATATAAATTGATAAAAGAACTAGAACAATTCGGCGCAGTAGCAGGACTTAAAATCAACAGAAAAAACAAAAACAAAATTAATGACCAAAAACTTAACAGAAGACCAGAAAAAAGAATTAGAGGTAAGTATGGGAATACAGGTAACAAAGAAAGTTAAATATTTAGGAATATGGCTAACACCGCAATGTAAAACACTTAAAGAGAATAACTATGATAAATTGTTGCAACAAGTAAAGAAAGATTTAGAATCATGGAGCAGGTTGCAACTTTCACTATTGGGCAGGATTGCTTCTATCAAAATGAACATTTTACCAAAATTCTTATACCTATTTCAGACAATTCCAATTAAATTGCATAATTTTTTTTTTTTTGAAGAACTAAATAAGATAACACTTAAATTCATTTGGCAAGGAAAGAAACCTAGAATCAACGTAAAGGCATTACAGGATCTGAAGAGTAGAGGGGGATTAGCACTTCCAAATTGGGAATTATATTATACGGCAGCTACTTTATTATGGTTAAAAGACTGGGTGAATTTACTTAACAAAAGAACGCTAATATTAGAAGGCCACGGTCTGCAGAGAGGTTGGCACGCCTTCTTATGGGAAGTGGGGAAACCCAATCAGTCATATTTCCATAGACACCTAATTAGAGATTCACTATTAACCAACTGGAAAAAAGTATGGAAAAAACATTATTTAAAAGTACCGATTTGGCTATCGACAATGGAGGCAATGGTTCATCCCAATAATTTGGACATTACAAAAATGATCAAATACAAAGACTTATTAGATTTACAAGGAAAATTGAAAACAAGACAAGAACTACAAGAGAGAGGATTTAAAATCGATCAGTGAGTATATTTCCAAATCCATAGTAGATATAAACAAGATAATAAAGATTTCAGAATTTATAACAAACTGCAGCACTTAGATAAAATTTTATTAGGATCAACCAAAAAAATATAACTAAATTTTACAAATACTTACTGGAAGTAGAACTAGAACAAGAGATAGTCAAAGGAAATATGATAGCTTGGAGCAGGAATGTCGGATGGAGTATTACATTAACAGAATGGGAAAAGATTTGGAACAGAAACAATAAGATCACAAAATCGGCAGCTTATAAAGAAAACGCATACAAAATGTTTTACAGATGGCACCTTCCCCCTTCGAGGTTGGTGAAGATGCACCCCAACACGAGTCCAAAATGCTGGAAATGTAAAAGTATAGATGGAACCTTTTTCCATATGTGGTGGTCATGTAAGGAAACTCAGAAATATTGGCAAAGAGTTAGAAAATGGCTAAAGGAGATAACGAAAGAACAAATTGAATATAAACCAGAGTCCTTCCTATTAGGGATTTTTGACAAACAGTTACCAAAAAAAATGAAGTATTTAATAATACATATCTTAACAGCAGCCAGGCTAGCGTTTGCTCAGTGCTGGAAATTACCTCACATACCTACAGAACAGATGATCATCCAGAAAATTTCAGATTGTGCAGAAATGGACAAACTAACTCTAGCCCTAAAAAACAAAGATTCTTCAATATATTATAACAACTGGAATTCTTGGTATAAATGGCTAGACCAAAGATAGATTGTGTATTATAAGGTATAAAAAAAGAATAGGATAAACTTATTTGAATGTAATCCAAATATAGATATCGATAAGATGTGCGTATATGATACAATTTAAGAAGAAAAGATCTTACAAACTGTTGAAAAAGAAAATGTTTTTAAGTATTCACCTTCCCCTTTTCCCTTTTCTTTCTTTTTTCCTTTCCTTTCATGCTTCTTTCTTTTTTTCTTGCTTTTCTCTGGTTTTGTTATTTGTATATATGTTGTAGATTTGTTTTTTTAATTGTAAAATTAATAAAAAAAAAAATTTTAAAAAAAGAAAAAGTAGGAAGCAGAAAAATTTCATCAGTCCTTTGCAGCATACTCTCAGCCAATCTTTTTTTTTTTTAAATGTTGCACAACAACTTCAAAATGTGTACCTTCACTGTCCAGTGTGTTCGTCATCGTATGGAGAGCTGTGAAACAGAAATAAGTACTCATTCATTAAAAAGACTAGATTGCAAACAGTTTTAAGTACTACTGTCACCAAACATGTTTAGCATTAAACATTGAATAATATATTGTTGCCTTACTTATCCCCACATTCTTTTTTTCAGTTTAACTTTTGTCACTGTCCAAAAACCAATTAGATTTCATCAGGCCACCCAAATGTTTACCTCCGCTAAATATAATTGTATGATTCATTGGATGATGGATACACATCTGAATATCATGTTTATGCATTCAAAGCACCTCAGATCCTTGCTATAATGATCTACTCTGATGTATTTTTAAAAAGCTAGTTCATCAATATAAATTGATTTAAGGGGGAAAATTAAATAAATAACTCTACCCTGGAAGTTAAATCCATAAATATTTTTCTGTACATCTAAAACAGGGAAAGAACCAATTTAGTTACATCAGTTCTTATAACTAGGCATCTACTGTCACCTATTTTTATTCCAACATAATATTGGAAAGAAATTGTGTATTTATAAGCATGAGACTAATCTGTGTGTCGAATAGCAGGGTAAATTTCTGGAATCTTGATGGTATGGTGTCAGAGTTGGGGTGTGGGAGAAACCCAGAGGTGATATTCAGCAGGTTCTGACCAGGTTCTGGAGAACCGGTAGCGGAAATTTTGAGTAGTTCAGAGAACCGGCAAATCCCACCCCTGACTGGAGATTTTACAGTATCCTTCCCCCGCCATGCCCACCAAGTCACACCCACAGAACTGGTAGTATAAAATTTTGAATCCTACCAATGGAGAAACCACAAAGAAAAGTTGAATTTGAACAAGCGCTCTGGAGAGGAAACCCCCCCACAGCCCCCCCATGCAATCCTACTGGAGAGATAGTCATGTGACTCAGAATTGGGTCTACTGTTTAGAGAGCAGAAGGAACGGCTCTGCATGTTTCTCCTCTTTAATGTATGCTCCTTAACATGCTATGTTGAGAAATGAAGAATTAGACATATTACCACATTACCACCATCTTTGCAGAGTAAAGTAATGTTTACAGGATCTATCTTTTATACCCTGTCATTCTCTCCCCCCTCCAAAGAATATCTTATTTCAGATTTTTGCCCATGTAAAAATGGAAGTAGTCCATTTATGTATACCAGGAACTTGTACCTATTGATTTGGGATTAATCACAAGACTTCCACTTTATTTATTCTATTATTACATTTATGCATCTTCAAATCAGATGGATCCACAGCAGCTTTGTTTCAACAATTCAATAACAGGAATTTTTTAGTATTTAATGACTTCTTTATCCAGTTCCTCACATAGCTGCTCTCTTCTCTTTCCTAATCTAATCCTAACAATCATCCAACAAGGCATAAAAGGAAGATGGAGAATATTTCCAACATTTTTTGGGGATGGAGGACAGGGGTGGGATTCTACCGGTTCTGACAAGTTCTATAGAACCCCTTGTTAACTTTCTAAGCAGTTTGCAGAACCAGTAGTTAAAACAAATCTTTTTTTTTTTTTGCACCCTTATTACATTCTTGGCAGTATGCCTAGACTTACTGTCTCCGAAGGATACTTTCTTGATACTTTCTTAAAGGGGAAATGTTGTTTAAAGCTTTTTACACTGTTGCTGGGAGGAAATGACCATTGCAGCATCCCCACTGTCATGAGAGGCCAGGCGAGGAGAAGCGCCCCTTGACATGAGTGACATCGAGTTGGCCATGCCCACCCAGTCACATGACCACCAAGCCACATCCACCAACTAAGCCATGCCCACAGAATCGGTTGTTAAAAAATTTGAATCCGACCCCTGCTGGAGGATGGTTCTAGCCTATAGTTATATAGTTGAAACTTGGTCAAATACAACTTAATTCCTATTGGATACTGTACAGGTAATCATTGTTCTATCTCCTCCAGGTTGCTCTATCTCCTCTATTTTCTATCTCATGATCTTTGCTTTGTCGCACCCTATTTTCACCTACCAACTCAAGTTCCTTCTTCTAACAAAGAAGACTGTAGTACACTACAGCTTAGACTGCAGTATATAAATTAGCCTGCGGAATGTTGCTAGTTCAATATTTTATACACAACTTTTTAAGTATCTATGGAGATTCTCAGTCATTCAGGTCATGGTTGTCCCAAAGGTGCTTTTTCAAAAGGCAACTGGACTTTCTGTTTTTTCTTTTTGAAGACGTTTTGCTTCTCATCCAAGAAACTCAGAGCTGAAGAAACTTCTTGGATGAGAAGCGAAACATCTTCAAAGAAAAAACAGAAAGTCCAGTTGCCTTTTGAAAAAGCACCTTTGGGATAACCTTTTAAGCTTTTTCAACAGTATATTAATTTTGTATTTTGAGTAATTTTGGACTAGAGGCAACCCTCATTTCGCAACTGCTTCATTTAGCAACTGTTCACTGTAATGTCAATATTGAAAAAGTAACTTTAAGACCAATCCTTACATTGATGACCTTTACAAGTCTTTAAAGCAAAGGAAAGCTGAAGATCATAAGCATAGTTGTAGTTTCACTGAGTTGCTGATCCCAATTGTAATTGTTAAATGAGGATTATTTGTGTACCTAAGGTAATCCATATATCTCAGCAGTAGAAAACTATGGACATCTGAATCTAAAATTCAATAGTGTGTGTGTGTGTGTGTGTGTGTGTGAGAGAGAGAGAGAGAGAGAGAGAATGCTACATTTCATGAAATTATGGAGTTTTTGTTTGTTCTACAATGTCCATAATTGTGGAAAATTGTTTTTTCCCCAAACAGAACGAAAAACATCCAAAAGTATATCTTTAGCCCAAATTGAAATGTTACTAAGCTAAAGAAGTGGCAACCATAGAGCTAAGAAACAAAGGATTTGTTGCAAGTTTCTTTCAGAAATCTTTAAAAAGTAATCCAACCTATACATTTCCAGCAGAGGTTTATGAGAAAGCAAGCTTAAATGACCTAAACAAACAAACAAACAAACAAACAAACAAACAAAACACATTTTGTTATTCAAATGTAAATAAAGGTAAGAGTTCCCCCTATCCAATTGTATCTGATTCTAGGAGATGGTGCTCATCTCATTTCTTAGCCAAGGCAGCCAGTGTTACCTGAAAACATTTCCCTGGTCATATAGGCAGCATGACATCACATCGCAGTGCAGAGCAGGCGGTGAAACACAGAATGCTATTACCTTCCCACAAAATGGTACCTATTTATCTATTTGCATTTGCATGCTTTCAAACTGCTAGGCGGGCAGGAGCTGGGCAAGAATGGGAGCTTGCCCCATCACGTAGTGTTGGGGTCTCAAATCCGGGCTCTCCACTCTCCAGCTGACAAGCTCAATATCTTTAACTGCTGAGCCATCGTACAAATTTAAATAGATAAAATAAATATATCAGTATTTGATTATTCAGCAGTGCTTCATCTGACTATTTTCTTTTGGTTAATGATTTTATTAACATTAAAAAACCCCACAACCAACACCTTTGTACTTGGCTAGTGTGTTAGCAGTTTTTCCTCTTTCGTAAAGAAGTCTGCCATATCTGTCAGCTTTGATTTTACAACCTAGCAAGGGCATTTGCCTTCATGTTTATTTCCAAACCACATTATCTGCATCTTGCAAACAACCCAGACATCCTCAAAATACAATAGAGGCTTTTTTATATAAAAGAGTGATTACTGTGCTAGAAAGTTCATTATCCCCCAGGAACACATTTAGAAATCCCCTTTTAGCAAAACTCAGAAACAAATTAAACTAAAAATGTCAAAAAATGAATTGGCAATCATTCAGCAACATAAACAAGTGCACAGATTTTGGTTTGCTTTCTTCCTCAGGAGGTCTGTATTGTTCAGCCAAAAGGCCAACTTCAAGGGAATGCAACAATGTCTATCTGCAGCAATGTGTGGCTTTGAGAAGTATTCACACTCCTCTTTATGTGTTAGGGAAATGACATACCAGCTGTGTGTTTTATGATTGTTTCGCTTCTACTGGACCCCTTTTTGATTGGAAATAAAAGCAGGGGAAAGCAAAGCAAGCACAAGTGGTCTCTGCAAAGGTCTGTCACATGTGTCTTTCTTGTTGTGAAAACAAAAAAAAAATGTAAGTTAACTAATTAGAATGTGGGTAACATTAGAAGCTTGGATATCACCTGAACAAATGGACTCTTATTAAGTAAAATGGGTTTAAACCTGATTCACTTGTTTTTTTTACAAATGATTGATATCCCATAAATTCTAGCCTACTCTAACATTATTCCTATCACCGATGGAGAGCTAATCCTGGACTTGGATTGAGAGCCCCTCAAACCTGTGGGTCCATCTGCCCCTCCTCCATCCTTTTCCCTGAGGTCCCCCTTCCTACTGCAATATAACCTGGCAGGAGGGTTGCCAATATTTGATTGGCTGTTCCATCACCCACGCATTATACAATGCAGCCATATACTTCAATAAAGTTATATGCGACTGAAAGATAATCCATAAATAAGTGGTGAAAATGGTGTGTGTGTGTGCGTGCAGGGGTGGGATTCTACCAGTTCGTACCTATTCACTAGAACCGGTTGTTAACATTCTAAGCAGTTCAGAGAACTGGTTGTTAGAAGAAATTACTGGCCTAATCCTGTAAGGAAGGCAGGAAGGAACATTCTGGAGTTGCTTATAGAAACTGCCTCTCGGTTAACCCTTATTACATTCTTAGCAGGACTAGACTCTCAGGAACTTCTCTGGAGTTTTTTTTTCCTCCTTTGCTGGTACTTTGCTTATGTGGAGTGACCATTCAAAGTTACAATGGCACTGAAAAAAGTGACTTATGACCATTTTTGACACTTACGACTGTTGCAGCATCCCCACAGTCATGAGAGGCCATGCGAGGAGATGCGTGCCTCGATGTGAGTGATATTGAGTTGGCCATGCCCAGCCAGTAACTTGACCACCAAGCCATGTCCACCCAGTCACATGACCACCAAGCCACACCCACCAACTAAGCTATTCCCACAGAACCGTTTGTTAAAAAATTTGAATCCCACCCCTGTGTGTGTGTGTGTGTGTGTGTGTGTAATTACCAAGGGAGTAATGGAGCACTTTGTAATTGTTTGTTTGTGTGTCAAGGAACAAGACTCAGATTATTGCTACCAGATGCTTGTGCAAAACAAATGAATCTGGATTTATTTATTTATTTTTATTGGTGGAGATAATGATTATCTCATTAACAGTTTTAAAACCGCTGTTTGCCCATCATATTTACTATCAATCTGTCATGTCTGGCGCCCTCCAGACATTTGAGGATTTCAAATGTGTGCTGGGAATTTTGGAAATTATAGCTCCAACATTAGAAGCCTGATTATTTATAGAGTTTATTGCTTCTTGGATTTATATTCTCAAGTTAACAGCAGTGTGTGGTGTGTCTTCATTATTTATTCATAACAACCTGTGAGCCAGTGAGTGGCTGAGTAAGGAGTTGATCCTGGGATTATATCCAGTATCCTAACCAATATAGCTCAATTTACTGGTTAAGGCCATACATGCTAATAAATGGGAAGATCTTAAAAGAAGAAAAATGAAAAATAGCAACAATAGAGACAGAGAAGTATAGGATCTTATTATCTTGCCTGATAACATTTGATAGCACTATATAAAAAATTGTAAATATTTAAAAATGAGTGGTCCTGTGCGATTCCCATCGCAACAAGTGAATCATGGAAGATCAAATATTGTTTTCTGTTCACAGTTTGATCTTACACAGATTTTTTCAGGGCTGGGTTGAAATACAATGATTACATGTTTTAGTATGAGATCAGTGGTTTGTTTTAGGAAAAGGTAACCAATATGGAAATTTATCTACCTAGTACTTACTTTATCCTTTTGGGACTGGAACAGGAAAGGATAGAGATTAGGTGTAAAGAAAGAAGGAAGTAGGTAAGTAAGTAAGCAAGCAAGCAAGGGAATTTCTTATAGTGAATCTCCTTTTGGCCTGGTTTCTGAAAAATAACTGAAAATCTTTGGAAATTGTCTTTTCCTCTTAGGCCATGACAAGGGCTAAAAATGGAATAACTACTTCAAGTTAGGCCAGATTCCCTGGCCTTCCATTTCCAAGAGGATAATTCACCCACATGCAATCTGAAAAAGATTAAACAATACTGAATACATTTCAATGAAGTATATATGAATTTAGAAGGAAAAAAAGGGAGGCAGAAGTTGAGATGGACATTCTTTGTTATAGAAGAAACTTAAGATCCACTTGTTCCCTGCGTTCAATGGGAATTATTAAAGGGAAGGAAGGTGAAACACATAATCATGAACTAATAGAGATATTTTCTTCATGATAGTAGTTACCATCCAGTCAAATTACGGCAAGTCTCTCTCCACTAAGAATAAGAACAGTATAAGAATAATCAGTAGGGCTCTTGTGACTCATATCTTCTACCATATTTTGTACTTAAATTCTACCATATTTTGTACTTAGATAGACATTATTATGGTGAGATAGATTACATTACTAATATACATTAAGAGGTTATTCTTGCTGACCCCTTGTGGATTTTAAAATTACTTCACTATCCCAGGATGACCTTCATCTAACGCTGCTGAGTTCAAAGTTATTCATAATATTATACCATTCCCTTTTGTGGGGCATAAAGTTTGGAGAGATGCATCATACTGTTGTCAGTCTTATAAAATAAGTTAAGCTGAATAAGGGGCTGTATTGGGTCTGATTTGAGAATAGTCCTGGTGACTAGTTCTCCAGGCAATCCTCCCATATCTGCAGCCACCATCTCGACCCAAAGACATCACGTATCAAATTCTGCTTGACACTTACTAGAAGGAATGTAAAGGAATTAAATGAAATTAAAGGAATCCTTGAAGAATAATCAAGGATGGAGAAGAAATTCTAGAACAGGCTTGCCTTCTGGTTCCCAATAGTATGTATGCTAGTAGTAGTAGTAGTAGTAGTAGTAGTAGTAGTAGTATTAATAGTATTAGTATTAGTATAAGTGTTAGTATAAGTATTAGTATAAGTATTAGTATAAGTATATTAATAGTATTAGTAATAGTAGAAGTATTCAAAATGCAATTGTCAACTTTTGCTCTGCTTTCTAGCTCTAGGAGATGGACTTTTTCAAAAGAAAAAGAAATCCAGAAATGTCCAGAAATTAAAGATAATTCTCAGCCAGGATTCTGTTATTTCATTTTCCTATCAGATTAGTTTTGTTTCTAAGTATTTACAAGATAAATGTATTAAAATATAAAGCCTAAAGTAATCTCCTTTGAAGAATCCTGATTTAAAACATATACATAATCTTAGAAAATGAAATTAGTTACCTGTAGCTAACTGGTTAATTGCTTTCAAAGGCATTTATAATAGTCTGTTATCAAAAATGTTTACTCAGATAAGTTAACTCTACTGGATACAGTAGGATTTACTTTTATATGAGAGTAAATACAATTAATTATAGCTGGATTTGGGATCTCTGTTGAGAGAAAAAAAGTCTAAATAAGAAATCTCTTTCCAGGCAGGTTATTTTAATAAGATAATTATTTTGTATTAAATATTTAAACAGTTTTATCACACAAATACAATGCACTCCTATAATTCAGATTGTGTTTTCATTTGTGGCCAGGTGGATTGACAAAATTTATGTCTTCACCATTCATGAGATCTCAACCTTCAATTATTTTCTTTTTGATAGTCTGTTTTATCTCCTCAGCCAATCGTGCAGTTCATGATTTATGCCCAGTGTAGGGATAAGTTGTTTAGAAAAAAGTGTCACAGTTTATGAAAGTAGAAAAAGAAGGAAACGTTCTCCATGGTACAATGGAAGTGATCATTATGGACACTGTGAAAATTGATTTATGTCCATTTAGAAGCATTAGAATATTAAACAATGAAGTTAGCTACTTCCTTTCTGTTTCACTGTTGGAGGCTTAATTATTTGTATATTTATTCATTTTGTAAGGCTGTCCATCTCAACTTCAGACTTATTTAAAAACAATACTTAAAAACAAGGAAAAGAACACAGAGCAAAATTATAAACAACATATAGAAGCTGAGAAAAAAACCCCAATAACAATTAGCAAAATGAGAATATTGGCTCAGCCATACATCTAATGTAAATGTATAATATTATAGGTCATGAGGTCAGCCCCAACCTTCCTGACCTTCCATAAGAACCTAAAGATCTGGCACTTCCAGTTAGCTTAGGGCTCCAATGATGGAGCATCAGAATAGAGGCAATTGATCAATTAACAATAGATCTCACCCCCACACCCAACCTGCTCCTATCCTTCCCATCTTTTAATTGGGTTGTAGTGTTTGGATTTTGTACTAACTTACTATGTTTTCAATTTATATAGTTGTTATCTTTTATGATTGTAAACTGTCCAGAGTTACCTCCTGAGGTAACATGGGTGCCCTATAATTTTTTTTAGATAGATAGATAGATAGATATAAATGGATAAATACATCTCCTAAGATTAATGGTAAGATAGTTTGTGATCATACCTGCACAACCTTAATCATACTGTAATAAGCCTAAACCACTGAAAATCTCTCTCTCCCTCTCTCCCTCTCTCTCCCTCTTGCGCTCTCTCTCCCTTTCCCTCTCCCCCCCTCTCTCTCTCACACACACACATACAAATTTCCAATGATTCAAAAGTATCAAATTATTAAATTATTAACATGAGAACTTGGACTGAGTATAATGACTAGTTGTTGGTTTTATTCTTCATCTGATTCAAAGCTGAATTGAGTACAAAGAAGATAATTTAATTCAATTTTGCTGAAGATCCCTTTGCTGGAGGTTAGGTGTGGGCTGTATTCTTTTTTAAAAATGACTTTACTTCATGACAAGATAAATGAGTTAGTGAGAGTGCAGTGACCCCCATGGGTGCCATTTCTCATATACTACAACTTTTGCTAACACATCTCCAAATTCTATTTACAGTACAATGGCTCACTGGTAGGAAAATGGATGCTCAGCATATGATTTGGTATTTTCTACAAAGTGCAACAAAGATTTACTTCATTTGTGAGCTTGCAGATCTCATACTCTTAACGTTCACAATCATGGTGATGTTCTGAAAACACAACTTATAATTTTGATTTTGATATAATGGAAAGCTTGCAAAACACCATTCAAAACACATACAGACAATCAATCTCTTTAGTGCATTTAATTGAAACCAAGGGTTTCATAGTAAAAATTGAAGTAAAGTACTTCAGAAATTGCAGGATGCTTACCACTATCTCTGGCTATAACTGCCCAGTTTAAATAGCTATTATGAAATCTGAAATTACAATAAATCTTGTTTCTTCTTATCTTTAGGTACTGTGTATGCTAATTTCAAGCAAAAGGTGGGAATTTTCTAAGAAGAATGATGCTGTCATGAAACACACCAATAACTATAATTTTGAGTTGAAAGGTGACTCTACTTTCAGAATACTGAATGTGGAAAGCTTGTTATAAGAGTCTCACCTAACATAATCCAAATACAGCAGACCTTGTGTTCCTCTCTGTCCTACTGCCTCAATTCCATATACTCCATATTAATAACATTTCACAAGTTATTGTAAGAGTAAGCAAAAGCCACACTCTTTTTATAGGGTATGCCCAAAATGTTTTAATCACATTGCCATTTAATTGTATTCCCCTTTTATTAATTGGTACCACTGTTTGAAACAATGCCATACCTTCTTTCCACAGTCAAGACCACTGTATCCACTTCTACAAGCACAAACATTTGGTTGGATGCATCGGCCTCCAAACAGGCATTTTGGTTCACAAACAGCTGTGAGAAAAACAACACATTTGTATTATTTCTAAACTCACACAGATGTAAATTACAATGTTAAACATGGTTTTCCTTTGAATCACTTATGGCCTCCATCTTCATGTTTCCAGAAGCAAGTACAAATGTGGCTTTTTTGTAAGGTCTTTGTAATTAATTGTATTTAGCAATATGCCTTCTTATAATTCTGATTTTTTAGCTTTGTATTCTCAGTTAATAATATCAATTGGATTTTGGATAATGCTTTAATATGACAATCATTCAAGTTTATGCTTCAACCGCTGATGCAGAAGAAGACGAGGTTGATAAGTTTTATAATCAACTTCAATTTCACATTTCACAACTTCACATTTTGATTCTTACTATGTTACAGAGCACCTGATTATGACATCGAACATGTAAACAAGCTAAATACACTAGTAACATGGGCAGCATCCTGCCCACACGCTTTTATCTTTCTTGGTGACTTCAATCTACCTCATATTGACTGGACCCTAAATGAATGTACAACTGAACCCATACACGCAAACTTCAACAATGCTGTTACAAATCTAGGACTGGAACAACTAGTAACCAACAACACTAGACTAAACAACTGCCTCGATCTCATCTTCTGCAATAGTTTGAATTTAATTTACGGAATACAAACTAAAGAACCCTTTTCCAGCAGTGACCACAATATGATTGACTTGTGTCTCAACATACGCCCACACAAAAATCATCACAATGATGTAATCCCCAATTATAACTTCAAAAAAGGCAACTATGATCTTATAGACAACGATCTCTCATCCCTTGATTGGCAATCTCTATTCACTGGATGCAATACTGTTGAAGACCATTACAACGTATTTTTACTTGAAGTCAAAAGAGTCATCAAACTATATGTACCAATAACAACTCCCAAAACAACAAAAAAAAAAAAAAAAAAAAAAACAGATTACCCATAACAATAAGGAAACTTCAATCCAAAAAGAGATCACTCTGGAGGAAAAACAAATCTGGTCACGTTGCTAATTTCAAAAGCCGATACAAAAATTTATGCCACCAGATAAAGACTGAATGCACCAATTATCACATTAAACAAGAGGAAAACCTTCTATGCACCAATTCCACCCACGCTTTTTACAATTTTGTAAACAACAAACTAAAAGACTCAAGGTCCATCCCACCCCTGATAGGACCTAATGGTAAAGACTGCAACCATGACACCATTAAAGCTAACATCTTTAACACATTCTTCGGCTCAGTATTTGTAAACAGCAATGGATCATGCCCAGTGTTTCCTAGCCGTACCACAGATAACAACAATGATCTAATACATATCGATTTTACAGAAGACAATGTTGAAAAAGCACTACGCAATCTAAAACCATCTCTATCTATTGGACCGGATGGAATATGTGCCTACTTCTTAAAAAAGCTATCCACTGCCATAGCCGAACCTCGAAGCATAATCTTTGAAAAATCTTTCAGGACCAGCTCCTTGCCAAAACTATGGTCACAAGCCACGGTAATCCCCATCTTCAAAAAGGGAGACCCCAGCCTAGTTGAAAATTACTGACTAATCTCCTTATGCTGCATCACCTGTAAAGTCATGGAATCAATTATTAACCAATCCATTATCCTCCACTTAGAGACAAACAACCTACTTTCCAATAAACAATTTGGTTTCAGGAAAAAACTATCCTGTAATCTGCAACTCTTACACTGCAAAAACATATGGACTATACAACTTGATCAGGGCAAAGCAATAGACTCAATCTACATAGACTTCTGTAAAGCCCTTGATTCAGTGGTACACAACAAACTACTCCTAAAACTAAAATCTTATGGTATCTCTGGACAACTGCATAACTGGACAAAAGCATTCCTGTCAAACAGACAACAAATGGTCAAAATTGGGAGTGTCCTATCAAATTCTGTACCTGCCAATAGTGGTGTCCCCCAGGGCAGTGTTCTAGGACCAACTCTCTTCATACTCTACATAAATGACCTCTGTGATCATATTAAGAGCAACTGCGTTCTTTTCGCTGATGATGTAAAGCTGTTCAATACCACAGACAATACTGCTACCCTTCAAAAAGATCTTGACTATGTATCAGAATGGTCAAACAAATGGCAACTTCAAATCTCAACAAATAAATGCTCTGTCTTACATATTGGTAAAAAAAAATCAGAAAATAAAATACAAGCTGAATAGTCAAGATCTTGTTGATGATCCAAGCTCTGTAAAGTTCCTTGGAATGCTGATCTCTAATGATCTAAGTGCTAGAACCCACTGTAACTACATAGCCAAAAAGGCATTAAGCGTTGTTAATCTAATCCTATGTAGCTTTTTCTCTGATAATATCACACTACTAACTAGAGCATACAAAACATTTGCTAGACCAATACTCCAATACAGCTCATCAGTCTGGAACCCACATTACATATCTGATATTAGCACAGTTGAGAAAGTCCAGAAATATTTCACAAGAAGAGTTCTCCACTCCTCTACTCATTGTAGAATACCTTATGCCACCAGACTTGAAATTCTAGACCTAGAAAACCTTGAATTACGCCGTCTTCGGTCTGATCTAAGTACGGTATATAAAATCATACATTGCAATGTCCTACCTATCAATGAATACTTCAGCTTCAACCATAACAACACAAGAGCACACAATAGATACAAACTCAAGGTTAACCGCACCAAACTTGATTGCAGGAAATATGACTTCAGCAACAGAGTGGTCAATGTCTGAAAAACTCTACCTGACTCTGTGGTTTCTTCCCCAAACCCCAAAAACTTTAACCTTAGACTGTCTACTATTGACCTCACCCCTTTCCTAAGAGGTCTGTAGGGGGCGTGCATAAGCGCACCAATGTACCTACTGTCCCTGTCCTATTGTTTCTTTTATTTTTCTTATATGTACCCATTTCATGTATTCATAACTATGTATATACTTATACCTATTATCTTGTAAGCAATTGACAAATCAAACAAACAAATAAACAAATAAATAAATAAATAAATAAATAAATAAATAAATTTGAGATCAAAGAATCTGCAAGGAGGATGTGCTGCTTGAGACTAGAGACTGGAATGCCAAACTTGGAAATATGCAGTGATTCACTTAATAGTGGCAAGAAAGTAAAATGGGGCAAAATTCACTTAACAACTCTCTTGCTTAGCAAGAGAACTTTTGGGCTCAATTGTGGTCGTAAGGCAAGGACTATCCGTAGTTGGGTACTGAAGCAGGGGAACAACCTATTAATTTCTGCTCCTCCAGTAATTTCTTCATAGCTAACACTATCTTCAAATGACTGAAACATGTATGGACATCACCAGATGAAATACAAAGAAACCAGATCAACTAAATCATTTGTGTCAAACTCGATCACGTCACGTGACATATCATGATGTATCATGACTTTTTTGCCTTTGCAGAGCCAGGGTGGGCGTGGCCTGTACATGGTGAATCCGGCCTGTGGGCTGTCAGTTTGACACCTCTGGACTAAAAGGATGTGGGAAGATCTCAATTAGAGCATCAAAGACTGTGAAACAAATCATGAATTGCTCATGTGCCATTTCAGGTTAAGTTAAGGAAGAAGGAAAACCAGTCAATTTCTCTGATATGATCTTGAACATATATAATAGCTGTTATCTTCAAGGAGAATCTCAGGAATCCTTTTAAAGTCCTGAACATCAGCGATAGAGAATCAAAAGAACTATGGAATGAACTTAGAGATGTCATAGAGATGAAGGTGAATTTTTTGTTGTTGTCAAAAATGGAAGAAGAAAAAAAAAACAGAAGAAAGCAAACTGGATGATGGAACAGACCAGAACTTTCCAAGAGAAGAGAAGCCAAAGCCAAGAAAGACAATAATCTTGTCAGGATCTAGGAAAGAACTTAACAAAAGAATCTGAGAGAGTTGTGAGAATTGTTCTTTCCTATTGTGAGTCTCTTCATACTTTACTTCCATTGACACTTATCTGGACTGTTTGTCAAGGGTTACTGTTTTTCATGATGTCTATACAAATCTCTCTCTCTCTCTCTCTCTCCCTCTCTCTCTCTCTCTCTCTCTCTCTTTCTCTCTCTCTCTCTCTCTCTCTCTGTGTGTGTGTGTGTGTGTAGAGAATAGCTTTTGTGGATAGAAATTCTTTATCCTGTTTTTTCATGTTTTATTCTTGTCTTTATCCTGTTGACATAATGGTTAAAGTCATAGAAGAATGCTACTTCTCTATGAGAAAGATGCAAATATTTGATATATGTTAGTTAATGGGCTCAGACTGACCTTTTCAACTCCAGCAAATGTAGAGGTATATTTGAAATGGGATAAATACAATAACAACAATAGCAACTATTTCTTTTTACAATAGTCAGATTTCTGTGAACAATGGAAGTCAGTGGAGTAGACAAGGATTGTGAAATTGAGCGGAACCTTTCTAACTACAGTGGCAACAAATGGATGTGAATCACAGTAAAACTAGCTGCACCGAAATTATTGACACTGATGGAAACCAAAACTTCTCAAAGCATTTTTTCTATTGTGAATCCTGCACTTTGCAGGCTTGCTATATTAAAATTCCATAAACCATCCTTTTTGCAGAAGTGCCCTTATTCTGACTGAAACTGTAGCTGTCCAATTCATGGAACTGTCAAGATCGAGGAAATTATGTGTTATCCTGAGTAATTCTTTTTGGCAAAAAACTTTTATTTAAAATTTGCCCAAGTATATTAAAGAATTGCACTTTCAATGAGTTGAACAATTATTCCTCTCTATTTTACTGACAGTTTTCTGGATTGCTTTCTCCTCTAAAAATTTAATCAAGCGAGATCCCACAAATTCCATGATCATTGTATAAGAATGCATGTCTGGACTGCAAGTATGCACAAATCAGGTTAAATATGGATTGTGTCAGTGGAATCAATTCATTATTCCATTAAAGTTATTTTATAATAAGTGCCGGTATATCCACATGTATTGATATCCAGATGCAACTTTCTCACATG